ATCGTACGCCTTTTCAAAATCAACTTTAAAAATGAAGGATTTCTTCTTCTTTCTCTTTGCCTCATCAATCACCTCATTTGCAATCACAGCCCCTTTTGCTAGTTGTCTGCCCCTGATGAACGCCATTTGATGCTCCCCGATCACCTTATCAATCACCATCCGCAGTCGGTTTGCAAAAATCTTAGCTAAGATCTTGTACATGACATCGATGAGTGATATGGGTCTATACTCTTCAATTTTTTGGGGGTTTTCCACTTTGGGGATCAAGACTATGAAAGAAGCGTTTGAGCCTTTAGCTATCTTGCCTTGCTCATGAAACTCCTGCACGAACTCCACAACATCTGATTTAATGTCTTCCCACATGACTTTTACAAATTTGAAGTTAAAACCATCTGGGCCTGGGGACTTTGAGGATTCACATTCCCACACTGCTTCCTTGACTTCTTTTTCAGAAAAAACTGCAGTGAGGATGTCATTATCTGCTTCAGATATCCTCTTGAAATCAATGCCATCTAGCTTTGGTCTCTCCCATTTCTCTTCCGTAAATAACTCCTCAAAGTATGTTGCCACCTCATTCTTTATTTCTGCCACCCCTGTATGCTGGACACCATTGATGCGAATACAAAGTATTTCATTTCTTCTCCATCTTCCTTTCGCACTTCTATGGAAATACTTTGTGTTCGCATCCCCTTCTTTTAACCACATTTTTCTGGATTTTATTGCCACATGCTTTCTTTGATTTTTAAGTTCTTCCACAACTCTATGAAGCAATTTCTCCTTTGATCAATGTCCTATGTTAAGAGTTGACAGATCTCTCCTTTTTCATCTATTGTGGCAATCTCCTTTTCAGCTTCCATTATCTTGCTATCCACTTCTGGTATTGAGTTTCTACTCCACTCCTTCAACTCTTTCTTTGTTCTCTTCAGTTTCTCCTTCAGTTTGTACCCTTTCCATCCCCTAACTGTGGTAGATTTCCAGACTTTCCTGATGAACTCCTTGCACCCCGGTTGATCAAGCCAAGCATCAAAAAATTTGAATGGCTTTGGTCCCCAATCCATCTTCTCATTTTTCAGTAAAATAGGACAGTGATCCGATACGGTTCTATTAAGGCCCCATTGTTTCATATCACCCCACTTCAAAATCCACTCCTCTGTCAACAAAAATCTGTCAATTCTGCTCATGTATTTCCCATTGGAATTATACCATGTAAACCTCCTCCCCACCAATGGTAAATCAATAAGCCCTGTATTCTGAATAAAATCATCAAATTCCTTCATTTCTCTGGTAACTTCCCTGCTTCCTGCTCTTTCTTTTATTTTTCTCATTGCATTAAAATCTCCTGCCAAGCACCACTTACCCCCCCTGCTGGAGATTAATTTATGTAAATCCTCCCATAATGCCCTTTTTCCTGCCAACTGACATGGAGAATATATATTTATTATGTGCACCTCAGTGTCATCCTCTCCCCATAACCCGCATGCCCCCACATAATTATCCCCCTCTATCACTTCATTTTTTCTAAACACTTTTGAGTTCCATATACAGAGCAATCCTCCTGCCAATCCATTAGCTGCCTTTGCTACCCAGTCACAATCATCCGTCCCCCATAGCCTTCTACAGAACTCATATCTATATTCCCCAATTTAGACTCCTGGATTGCCAAAAATTCAATTTTTTCTTTCCTAATTAATTCTCTAACCTGTCTTTTCTTCCCAACCCCTCCAAGCCTTCTACAGTTAAAAGACAACAGGTTCATTTAAATTCTTTTTTACCTTCTTCGAGCTAGCTTCCTCCAGCTGCATCATGCTTGCTTTCTCCTCTTTATCTCTTTTCTCCATTTCTTCAATTCTTTTGACAATTTGTTGTTCATCCACAGCCACTACCCCTAGCTTCTTCGCAAAATCCCATAGATTTGTCGGTTGCTGCTCTTGTCTCTGTCTCTCCGCTAGTCTATTGCAATTCCTGATCTCGGTGTCTCCAATTGAAACCCTCGCTGCTCTACAACCGGACATTGAGTTGCTCGCCGGCTTCACCTTCTTCCCCATCTCTGCTGTCCGTTTCCTTTCTCGATTCTTCCCTCTCTGTTCGTCCACACCAGCAGTTGAAACTCCCTGATCTGTGGAGTAAATAGATCTACATGAGCGAATCTTCTTGTTTTTCTTCTTCTTCCCCGTCCGGTTCAGATTTGACCTTCTACCCATCCACTACTTCAGCCGACCCTCCTCACTTTCAAATCCTTTCCAGAATGGGTCTATGTCTTCCTCTTCTGAGATTTCATGCTCTGTTTCTTCAATTCTAGAAAATTCACTTCGGTTGGGACCTATTGGGCTTGTCACGAACTGGGCCGAGCTGCAGGCTATTGATTCCTTGTCCACACTCCTTGTTTGTGACTGTTTGGGCCCTTTTCTTGTCCTCTTTGTTTCCTGCTTTTCTAGGCCCGTTTCTACCCCTTCTTTTTCCCAATTTTCTGCTAAAATTGCCTGTTCCCTATGCACTGTCGGAGCTGACGGTTCCCCATGCCCCTGCGTCTCACCCAGCCGGCCTACTCTACCTGCTCCTGTGTTTGAATTTTGAAATTTCTCCAAGCTGACTGCAGCCACTTCCTCTTCTTGTGATTGATGATTTTTTTCGTTTATACCCCTTTCACCTGCCACCTCATCATCTTCCTCCCCTGATCTGAATGTTGTTCTACAGCCGGCTCTTTGATTTTTCTAGATCCATTCTCCATGCTGTCCATCTCTGTATCCCATGACCAGGATTCATTTTCCTCCGACCCACTGTGGAATGATGGCAAGAAATCTTGCTTTAAAGAGAAGAAATTGTTGGTAAATTCTTCCTCTTTAAATTTAACATTGTAAAGGACGCCATTGATTTTAATTTGGCGTGTAACTGAGATTGAATCCATAATATGGGTTGAGATCAAGAATCTGGCTACATCGAATCTTCTTTTGTTGCTTGTGCTGTCATCCAAGCAGATGAATTTCCCTCAAGTGCTTCCCATTTTTTCAAAGAAATCACTCGTCCAAGCATTTAGGGGTGCCTCATGACACTTGATCCACACAAACCTTTCCTGAGCAACCAATTCTGGTGACCACGGTTTGATTTCATTAAACCATTGTGCAAGCCATTCAACAGCCATTTCTACCAGATCCTTTAACTCTTCTTTTTCTTCACAATCCAACAAAACCATCTTACCCCCCATTGCACGAACTCTACAATAGAAATACCCCTCCATGTAGAATTTCTCTTGCAAATTTCTGACCATTTCTACTGAGTGTACTGTCCCCACATAGCAACCCTCAAGCCATGCAAATTCTTCTTCTTTAATATTGTATTCCATTCCAGTCCAGCTTGCTCCTTTTCCTTTCTCTTTCCATACTTTTCTGTTTTCTGCTATCCCAGAGCTTTCCCTTATCCTGTTCTCATTTTTTTCCCGCGGCTCTGTTCTGTACTGCCCCTTGTTCGCTCCTTCCACATTTCCAGCTCCATATCCTCTTAATACCTCAGCATAGCTTCTATTCTGATACTTTGGAATTAATCCTTGCCCTTCTCCTTCCTTCTTTTCTTCCTTCTTCACATCATCGAATCTTGGAGAGTTAACCCATAGTTTCCAGTCTCCAACCCATATCTGATCAAGTTGACTCTCTAGTTCTCTTTTGTCATGCACATTGAGAAACCTGACAAACCCAAACCTTGCCCCGCTCCTGCTTTTCCTGTTTGGACTGTATATATCATATACCCGTCCATATTTTAGAAATGTTCTCCACATATCTGCATAGCTCCACTCATCAGGAAAATTTGTGAAAAAATAAGGGGTGGTTTGCTTATACAGCCCCTTATCATAGAATCCCCACTTTTGCGTCCTGCTGTTCTTTTGATGCCCTTGTTCCCCCTGTTTCTGATTGATTGACTCTAGGCCTCTCCATTGGCTTCCTCCTCTGGTTGATGCATCCTTCCGATTCCATGTTGTCCGTGTTGCCCGTGTTCTCTGTCTTCCTCCTGTTCCTCTCTCTCTCTCTCTCTCTACCTCTCTCTCTCATAGTTTTTTTCACAACACTATAAAGAGATTCCTTGTAAATTTGTTTTGCCTCCTTTCTTCAACAGTGAGATATATCTAGTTTTTTCTTTCTTGATTAACCTGTGAAATATTTCTATAGGGAATTTGAAGGGAGTTACATGGAAGGTCCTATACCATCCAGTTTTTCTAAATTAACCTCTCTAAATTCTCTGTAAGTAATTATTCACTTACCATTTACTTTGTCTCTGCATGCATGATTCTGAAGGTATGTATAATGGCTAACTTTTCAATTCTTATCTATAATCATGCAGGCGAATCATTGGTTTATCCAATGTGAGCTCTTCTCTCGATTTCGTTATAAATCTAACGATTTTATATACCTTGTAAGTAAAAACTCTTTAATCATGTACAGAAACCTGTATCTTTGTTTGTCTTTGTTGTGTTTGTTTTATTAGTTAATTGACTAACAAACTTTACTCTTTTCTTTTGTTCTTTATTTCCCTGTAGAGTTTTAAGAAATGCATCAATTACTGGTAGTATTCCATCTGATATTGGAGAACTCAAATATTTACAAAACTTGTAAGATATGTTCTCACTTTTTCTGATGAATTTGTTGTCTGTGAAATTTGGTTCCATTTCCTATATTAATTTAATTCCTTTCTCTTACCAGGGATTTGAGTTTCAATAACTTGACAGGCCAAATTCCAAGTGCTTTGTTTGACATAAGTTCTCTTACATACTTGTAAAGTCATAGAAGATGCTTCAAAATCTTGATTTTTGTCAATTTCATCTTTAGTTTTTCTGGTCAACCTAACGCCATTAACCTAATGGTATTTACCATAAAAAGCAAAAAAAAATTTGACTATATTATATAATGTCAATGTCCAGGTCTCTTGGAAATAATAGTCTGTCTGGAACCATCCCTAGCCAAAAGAGTGAAAACCTAATAAATATGTAAGCCGTGACATTCTGAGCATTCTCTTTATTTGAATGGATAACTTCTGCTGACTTTCTGCTATTGTACTTTGACTACATTCTCATGCAGAGATTTATCTTACAATTTTCTGTCTGGAAGCTTTCCCCCATGGGTGAAAATCTCTCGGTCTCAGCTGTATGTAGCTTGAGCTTATTTTTCTTTTAATTGATGTCACATTATTAATGTAATACGAATTAAAGAAAAAAGTTCAAGATCTATCCCAACCATCTCCATTAAATCCTTGTAAGAGCCAGTGACCTAGTGTTATTCTCATTTTGGTACCTGGCTTGCGCTGATGACCTAAATTACAATGCTTAACTAAAAGTCCTCTGGAAGTCTTTTTGATTATCAAGAACCATGATAGTAACATAGTACACACCTATGTATACCATTTCTAGAAAGGGTATCTGTCACTTTAAATTCATGAATGTTGGATTGTTATAACTGCTATGACAGATGTTCATATATGTTGTTGCTTTTTATCATGTAGAAATCTAGTAGGCAACAACTTCACATTTGACAAGTTAAACATAAGGTGAGTTGTAGTTCTTTAATATCTATCTGAGTTTTACTTGTCTGAGTTTTACTTTTCTATCCACCTTAATCTAAAGGCATAAGAAAATTGGTTGCAATTTTTTCCACAATGAAGGTATTCTTTTATAATTTATAGCACTAATAAGAAATAGCTATTTTATTTATTTTCAGTCAGTTTCCAGGATTGAATTGCCTTCAAAGAAGCTTCCCATGCAACAGGAACTCTCCACGCTGTAAGCTTCTTTTGTTGCATTGCCTTGAGATAGCTTGTAGCCTTGTACCTAGCATTATGCTGTAATCACAGAGAGAAATTTTATGTCGTGGGGAAAAGGAATAGACAGTTGTATTTTAGAGTGTTCTTAGAATCTCAATGACAAGTTATCCCTTCCTACTTTCCTAGTATCAATAATTCTGAGCTTGGCCAATTGAAATATGCATGCATCAATGGCAATTGTAAAAGGACATTAAGTTCCTCGTGCTAGAACTTGAAAGGAGTCAAAATTTACTTGCTGTTTTTAATCTGTTATAAAATGATGGCTTTAGTAACCTACTGGGTATTAATTTCTGTTGCTGGAATTTTAATTATTTTATTCTTGAGTAACTTGCCAAGCATATTTAAATATTGATGTTGGCAGATGCAAACTTCGCAATCAAATGTGGTGGCCCAGAGATTATTGTGGATGGGATAACATATGAGGCTGAAACCTCTTATCTTGGCATAACATCATCTTATGTAATCCCTACTGAGAAATGGGCAGTTAGCAATGTGGGTTCATTTACTGACAGAAATAATCAACCCTACATGCAAAACAAATTGGAACGAGTGAGAAACACAAACTCGACGGAGCTTTATCAGACTTCGAGGATATCCACTGGATCCCTCAGATACTATGGCTTAGGCCTAGCGAATGGGCCTTATACGGTTAACTTGCATTTTGCGGAAACAGTTTTCAATGATCCAAGCAGTCATACTCTGGAGAGTCTGGGAAGGCGAGTTTTTGATATTTATATTCAGGTAAATTTTCCATAAGAATTGTGAACCATTGTCCAGATTGTATTTATTCATCATTTTATTCAAGTCCTCAAAGTAACAAATGTTTCTAAAATTACGAATTTGCAAACTTAAGTTTTACATTTTCAGATTTTAATCATAATCAACTATTCCAGGGAACCATCGTATTGAAGGATTTTGACATATCAAAAGAGGCAGGTGGGGTTGACAGAGCGATGACTAAGAATTTCATTGCTACTGTGACAGAGAACCATCTTGAAATTCACCTATTCTGGGCTGGTAATGGAACACACTGCATGCTAACATCATCACTTGAGGGTAACTATGGACCATCCATTTCAGCAATCAATGTGGTATCAAGTAAGAAATGAGATGACATAAGAATCTTTGTTTAAAATCTTAAGTAATGCCTATCTCTGTTTGCCACTGCTAAACCTAAAACCTATTGATCAGATTTCACACCAAAGAAGAATAGGACTGGGTTGATTATTGGTGTTGCAGTTCCTGTCGGAGTTGTCACCTTCACCTTGATATTGATATTTGTAGTCTTCTACTTGAGAAGGAGAAATGATGATGATGAGAAAGGTAAGAGTCCTAAAAAGTGCAATAGTTGTAGTTAATTAGTCATGATATTATTACCAACAACAGAATTGTCAAATTGGTATTCACTAATTTAAAAATCTTGAATTAGAATTAAGATCGGAAGTTAAAACCTTTATGATTCTAAGTAACTATCTCTCTAATGTACCAAAGAAAAGAAAAAAAAGAACAGTCATGATATTATTTGTAAAACGGATTCATGTTAATATACTATGGTTGATCTGGCCTTAGTGTCGTTGAGTGAAGTTCTAGGTTCCCCAGACCAAGTTCTAGGTTAAGCTCTTATTGATATTTAGACATAATTATTTTCTTCTTTATTACAAGGGTGGACAAATGGGTTTTTAAAGGAAGACATATTCTAGTAGTTAAGAGGACTTATCTCCCTTGATGGAGAAAGAAACTGATTTTTTTTTTTTTTTTT